GATTCATAGATCTAGAGATATTGTCAATATTGCTCTTTATGTTCACCCTCTCTCTTCTCGGACTCTATTTACATGTAATTTGGGTGTTATCAGCACTTAGTGGCATTCCTTCAAGATGTGTCAACTGTGTTATCCAAATTTGTTTTTACTTCATTTTCTGTACATCTTGTTAAACATTTTATTAAATTAAATTAAATTAAATTATACCGGTTAATCTCTCTATCATCAATGTGGGCACTGGCATTTAAACTGATTGCTGGTAACAGGATAGTATATGTAAATCAGACACTAACATATAAAGTAAGTACATCATGTTAATATATTGGAACTGGCCAAGGTAGTCATGGACTGTAGTTGACAATATTTTATGATTGAAACTCAAGTTAATACAAAGTAGAAAAACAGAGAGAAAGAGAATACAATGGAGCAGAGAAATCATCAAAAAGAGTACTAAGAAAAATAACAAACAGAACCACAGACAGTGCATGCATCACAACTTATAGATCTATAACACTAGCCATAACTACATATATGAATGAGTATACCACAACTAGTGAACTAAAAATAGAATATCAAGGGCTAGCATTTTATTTTTTGCATGTGTATACATTGAGATCAGCATCAAATTATAAATTAAAATCTAACTTTGTATGATCATAATAATCAAAATATTTTGTTTACCAAAATTGAATAATATTCATGTCTTCAATTAAAGTAAGACAAGTTTCTTTAAGTTGTTTATCTAGCCAAAGTGTCTCAAGTGTACTGTTGGTGAGTGATTTCAGCAGTATCTCTACTCCATCATATTCAATGTTAGTATCGTACAAGTAAAGGTTGCTAAGTGTCTTGTTATTACGTAAAAGTTGAGCTAGTGACTGAGCACTTGCTGAAGTGATGTCAGGATTGCCAGTAAGATATAATTCTCGAAGTGTTTCATTAAGTTGTAGTGATTTTGCTAGTACAATAACTCCATCATCTTTGATTGAACCATTTATGAGGCACAGAATCATTAATGATTTGTTGGTTGATAGTTGAGATGAAAATGAGAGGATATCATCAGGAGTTAAGAAGAATGAGTACATAACAAGTTTTTTTATCGTTGTACTCTGCAATATGGTTGGTATTAGATACTGTGTACTGTGAGATGATGATGCACTGAGTGCCATTATATCATGTTTGTTTTCCAGTTTACAAATTACTTCCTTACATTGAGCTACAGATGGACTAGTGAGATACACATGATCTGAACCCCATATCACTGTTCCATCCTTTTGTCCTAATAATAAACACATATAGTCAATTAATTAATGCATGTAATTAAATAAACATTAGCCTAAATATTTTTTATGAGTTTTTTGTGTTCAACAAAAATGTTACATTATGTAGCTATAATGAATAATTGAATTATTCATCCACGAAAAATTAATTTTTCTGCATAAAATGCAATTAAAATCTACCTTCATGAGTTTGTGTTTATTATGTAAAACTAAACAATAAAGTTATTCATTTTCATTGAGAAATTGCTAATTGAAAATGGTGTGACACGCATTATACATAAGGTAGTGTGGGGCAATTCATGGTTTTGATTTTTGCTGTGGCTACAGAGCCAGTACTGGTTTCCATTGCAAAGTGCTTAAAGAGCCGGCATCCTGTTTTCCTCCGTAAAACAGCCTTGTCCACATGCGCATTGATGCAAAATTGAACTTTCATTTCACTATTTATACTGACTGCTTCTATATAGGGGGCTACCAGCTCTGCAAGCTGTTGTTAAAGAAAACTGGTACTGGCTCTCTAGACACTTCATTTAACGCTCGTGGTCAACAGGTTACATAGCCTTTAAGGAAATAGTATTTCATGCATTTTTAATTTTTAGGTATGCCCCAAAACCACATGACCATGAAAATTGAACATGATGATATTAACCTGCTATAAGATTAACACGTTACCATAGCAATGGTTATGAACAATTTTGTGCATAGCATACTGTTCTTGTCCTCAAGTTCCAACTTCAATTGCTCTATTTCTTGTTGTTTATTCTCTGACAGTTTCTTCAATGATGCTAACTCTTTCTCAGTATCTATAGAAATGAATGATACAAACATTTAACATTGATTTCATATAGGTAAAATAAATCTTCCTCCATTTGTATTACCAATTATATTTTTTACCAATCATCTTTTCATCTTTTTCCCTCATGATAGCCTGCAAGTCCTCAATTTCCATTGTCTTCCTTCTATTAATTGCATACTGTGTCTCCAATTTCTCATTCAATTCATCAATAGACTCTGGTTTACATAATGAGATCAGTTACTGTCATTAGTTAAGTTACCTTTCGGCAATATATGTGTATGATCTTCCTCTTTTCTTGTCCCTAATTTCATTTGAAGTTCTTCCATTTGTTTCACAAATTGTTGCCTCATGAACAATAGTTCTCTCTCTATGTCTTTGTGTAAATACATTAAGACACTGAATATATTGTGTGTACCTTTATAATTATTGACCGTCATTATGGTAGGCTGTTCAACTTCTTTAGTTGCCATTGTTGATGATACAAGTACCTTGAATTTAACAAAATTAAGCATTAATTGTTCACATCATAATAATTATACCTCATAAGCAGTATTGTTCCATATGGTACAGTTGCCTATTATAAATTCCTTCAATCCTCTCTTTTGCAGTATCTCTATCTTCTCAAGGACAGCCATTATCAGTGAGCCAGTGTATTCAGCAGGACAGTAGCAGGTTACTACAACTGACTGACCAGTTTTAATTGTGTCAACTTGAATGAAGTAGTTTTTCAGTGGCTCCAGCTTCTGAAGTACATCATTGATATCTTGCAGTGTTGTATCATTGGGACTCCATTCAAGAATAAATGTAACAGTTTCTTTTTTGAGATGAGAAGGTGTAGGAACTGCTTGAAGCTCTTGGTCAAGGCATAATTCGATAGATGTTGACTTGCAGAAATCTCTAGCAAATTCTTTGTAGCCTTTGATGACTTTTTTAGCTTTTTTTATGTTAAATTCTGAAGCTAATACTTCTAATGGAAGTATGTTAATGATATTACATCTTGTCTTCACAACATCCAGTACTTCATTGATTGTCTTCTTGTTAAAAACTTGAGAACTAAGATCAGGAAAACAATCACTGACTAATAGCTTCATTTCATCAATGCTTAAATTTTTATCTTTGGCAAAATTGCCCCGAACTTTAAAAAATGTTGAGCCAAACTTGATTCTCAATTCCTCAATTTTTTCTTTCATACTATGAGGAAAAAGGATTTTGTGGCTGCTGAGTATCCATTTCACTTCTTCAAATGATCCACCTGTTTAGTTTCATAAAATTTAAATTTTATTATCTAGTATAATGAAAAAAAAAATATTTACATGCACTCCCTGATTCAACTGAAGTAGCATCTTTTAATGACCTTCCTATCATTTTAGTAGCAAAAAATAACAGTTAAAATAATTTAATTACAATACCTTCTTTTAGGTATGTCTCCACTTCTTCAATAGTATTGACATTCTCACAAAATAATTGACCTAATTAAGGCATGTTATTCTTATATTATTTAGTTTATCACTTACAATATTCTTCAAAGATAGTATCACCAATATGAGCAGTCTCTGAGAACTTCCTCAACACAGTAACAAATAACTCCAGATGTTTGTAATTAGAGTGAACAGCATCTCGTACAGCTTTGAGGAGAACTGCTCTACTGTCAGAGACAGAACCTCTGGTAGATATGACACGAGACAGAGCCTCATCAGATATAACCTCTTCATGAAGCAGCCTTGCCATACGAACTGGTTCAGTAATTGATAGAGAAAGAGCACTGTAATTATTCCTTAATATATCACTAGCACAATCTTCATTACTACCTACTACCTTCTGTCGTTGTACTTCTGCACTAACACCCATGTTCTCTTCTATAGTATTCATTTAATATACTGTATGACATTACAGTATTCAGTGGCTTACCATATTTGGTCACCATTTCCTTGCCTATATCTCTTGTTTTTTCAACGTCAGACAGCACTGTAGCAATATCTTTAAGTTTCCTGTGGTCGCTAGACACTGTTTCTTTCATGGCAGTCAATAGAGTGGTCTTCTTGTCATCTAGTGACCTCCCCTGATCTATCTTTTCCATTTCATCCAGAGTAGCTTCACTTATACATCTCTTACTGTATAGCAGTTGAGACACTTGTACAGGAGAGACAAGAGCTTCATTCAATGATTGAATATTCTTTTGAAGAATAGAAACTGCTTCAGTAGATGGTGGTGTATCTAATAAAAGATAAATTGTATCAGACACTCACAATATGCATAGGTATACTATCATGGACTCTTGTTGATACCATGTATGACAGGAGCCCTGCTTACAAGTTGCTTCATGTAAATCCTTCAAATGCTTTTCATATTCATCTGCAAGTGTATTCTCTCCCACTACTCTTATCCTCAATGTTTCCAGTACTTGTCTCCTACTAGCAGTAGGAGTAGTGGTCAGCCATAGATTGAACATTTTTATCATCTTGTGAGTGTCAGTGTGGCCAGTTTGAGCTTCAATACTTCTTAATCGTTTCTGATCCAAGTCAAGCATTGTACCAACTATGTACCAGTTAGTACTAACATCAATATGCTTTGTTAGCTCTGCTGTAGTTGGAGTAACCGACAAGAAAGTATCGAAAGAACTTTCCATGATGAGCCTCACCCTTAAATGAGCCACACCCTTTTAAGGCGTTTAAGAAAATTAACATTATTCAGTATTCACACCAGAGATCACACCATAGACCAGATCTGCAGACACGGTTGACCTTGTCACCTTTACACAGCCAAGACCCAAGAGTTAGCATGTATGATACAAGGCACTGCCCAAAATCAATGAATAGAGCCTGATTACAGTATTGATACAGTCTGACAAGTATCATTGCTGAATCATGCCTGTTGCTCTGGCTGAACCAGTATATATTCCAACATAATTGTATCAAGGCTGATAGATCCTGCTAGGCTCATTGCAGTGTCAGCTGCCCAAAATCCATGATTCAGGATGCATTAGGTCGGATCAGGACTGACATTATTCATGATTCAATCACAAACTCTTGGCTGTGTAGTGCAATTTCATTCCTTAGTGATCACGTGATTAAAAATGGCAGCTAGAGATCTCACCATAGACACTCTGTGATGGATTAAAAACTATTGGTTATTATTCTTTATTATATAGGTATGTGTTACTACTTATTGGTTGTATATGTGTATCATTATCATTTGAATTATTAGTTGTATGTGTATTATTGATTATTAGTGGTGTATATGTATTGTGGTTTGACCTTAGATTAATTTGTGTAACTGTGGTTTATGTGAGGGATGACAGCTCGGGCTTGCTCAGGCTTGCCCAGGTTGCCATCTAACTAGGAACTCTCTATGTCATGTGGTTGTCATGTGTGTGTCATATGTATAACTAGTTTTAACTTGTTTGTGTCACATGAGTTTGGAAATGATATAAAAGTGCCCGACCATTTCTGGTGGGTTGGTTGGTTTTATGACCTTAAAATATTCTTGTAGTTGGCGTAAGCCAGGGGGGCACAGGTGGATCTCTTACACACTCACATCTATGTGTATTTATTACATATCACACTATCTCCATCACAATACTCGATAGATACATCCACTCACAATGATAAATGAGCATCATTATTAGCTTTAGAAGCCAACATAAATAAAGCAAAAGCTCAACCATGTATCACTATTGTCAATATTGTTTTCTATAATAATTATAGGCACTAATTGACTAGAAGGTTATCTCTCTCTTTTCTTCAAAGCTATTGTGAGTGTGGGGCATGTAAACTCAGAGACACTAGATCTATATAGTGTACAATGTACACCATGTATGCTCAGACTTATTAATATTCACCACAAATCAAAACTTACAACCTACCTAGTACCTATGTTATCTCAGGAGTTACGGTTAAGTCATGCAGTTTGGTCAACTCTATAAGACTTTTAGCTATATTGTACATGCAAGTATCAATCTACCCCATAATGCTATATACTGCTAGTAACTTTACAGTGTTTATTCGTTTGAATAATTCACCGATTTCACTCACTGTTAAAATGTATTCATCCAATGGCACGGCGTTACCATGGAATCACTTCACATAGCTGATTGTAGCAGCAGCATGACTTCAGCACTAAAGTGTTATAACCAATGTACATACAGTACACATGCATAACTATTCCATTATATGAAAATATTATCTGCAAAGTGTTGCATCAAGTTGACATAATTTCCAGTACAACATAGCTTATTTTTAGATGTTATTCTGCGTCAACATTTGTCATTATATATACACAATTATTATGAATTAGATAATTGTACCTACAAAAAGGTAACTCTGTTTTTGATCTGTTCAAAATAAGAACAAGTTTCTTTATACCGTTTGTCTAACTTGAGTTCCTTTAGTGTTTTATTGGTCTTGAATAATTCCATCAGTATCATTACTCCAATAAGGCCAATGCTAGTATGGTAAAGATCAAGTCGACAGAGTGTACTATTAATGAGCAAAAGGTCAACCAGTGGCTGAGCACTAGCTGAAGTGATTCCAGTATTGTATGCAAGATCTAAGTATTGAAGTGTATTATTATATTGTAGTGATTGTGCTAGTGCAATGACTCCATCATCACTGATTGAGCCATTAGATAAGTCTAAACTTGTCAATGATATGTTGGTTGATATTTGAGTAGAAAATGAGAGGATATCATCACGTGTTAAAATTGAGGAAAATATACATAGTGTTTTTACTGTACTTCTTTCCAATATGATTGGTATTAGGAACTGTATGACGTCAGATGATGAGTCAGACAGTGCAACAAGCTCATGTTTATCCTCCAGTTTATTGATCACTTCTATGCATTGATTTACTGATGGATTAAAAAGATGTACATCATCATAACTCCACTCCACCTCTCCATCCTCTTCTTCTACTAATAATAAATATACAAGTAGTCATAGACCCACTAATGCTTGCACATAATAAAAATTATATTGATGTATATTTTTCAACTCCTTGTTATTCAAGGTGTAGATTGAGATTCAAACAAGATAAAAATGAATTTAAATTTAGCTTTCCACAGTACAATACATTCTCGAAGGAACTGCAGGTCTATCGATGTCTATAATAGTGTGACCTGCTACAAACTATATCCTGCTATCAAAAGCCAGATTTTACAATATTATGCTAGGCCTGACAATATGCCGTTGGAGTTGAATTTAACTCAAGCATTTAATGTATGCAACAAATGGTCTAATCACTTGTGTATGTGCAAACTAGCTGCAATAATTGATATTCTTAATTACCTTTTCCATTCCCAAAAATTCAATTCTAGGCAAGGTAATTACAGAATGGTACTTACAATGCATGTACTAGGTAAAATGTACTTTACTTGATGTGTCAGTATCAAGTGATTCATTAGTCTCTGGTGCTTCTTCACCTGATAATTCTGTAAAATGCAGAATGTAGACTAATTGATTGTATATATAATACATTACATACCAGTAATATCGTCAAAAGTGCTTTCAAGTTTCATTTTTAATTGTTCTATTTCTTCTAGTCTGTTTTCTGATAGTTCCTTCAATGATGCTAACTCTTTCTCACTATCTGTAGAAGTTACATTATTTTTAATAGAAAAATGTATCAATATATGCATGCCATGCAGTTAAAACCAATGATATAAAAGAACCAGTCATTCCATGATGATTGTATAACAGTTTAACTTCATAAAGTCTCATTACCTTCTAATAACTGATTTAATATTCTATCCTTATCTACAATTTCTTCATTGAGCAATGATATTTTCTCCTTAAGTTGATTAATCACTTCTTCCTTTTGAACTATTAAATGCAAAGTCTAATTTATAGAACTATAATCATACCATTAATGCATTGACTCTCTTTAAGACCAATTTGTAACGCTTCTATTTCTTTTAATCTGCTTTCTGATAGCTCCTTAAATGTTGCTAACTCTGTTTCAGTGACATTAAAACAAAATCAATACATAAATATACAAACATCTCTTACCCAGTATTCTTTTATCTCTGTCCTCTAAATCAGCTGTCAAATTATTAATTTGTGCCAGAAAAACCTTCAATAAGATAATTAAGTTAATTTATTAAACGCTTTCTAACCTGAGAAGTATCCCATAAAGTACAGTTGCCTGTTACAAACTCTTTTAATCCTTTCCTTTGCAGTGTATCTATCTTCTCAAGGACAATTCTTTTAAGTAAGTCAGTGTATTCAGCAGGACAGTAGCAGGTCACTACAACTGATCGACCAGGACCAACCTTATCAATCTGTATGTGGCACTTATGTAGTGGTTCCAATTCATTTAAAACATCATTGATATCCTGCAGCGTATGTTCATCAGGATCCCAGTTGAACACAAATACAACAGTTTCACATAAAAGGCGAGATGGAGTAGCAACTGCTTGTAGCTCCTCACCAAGGCAAAGACTCACTGATACTGACTTGCAGAAATCCTTAGCTTCCTCTTTGTATGACTTAATGATTGGTTCAGCCTCTTCTATTTTAAATTCAAAAGCTAAAACTTCAAGTGGGCTGATGTCAATGATGTTGCACTTTCTTTTAACTACATTTAATACTTCACCAATGGTCTTCTTGTAACAGAGCTGAGGCTTCAGATCAGGAAACCAATTCAAAATCAGCTCCTTCACTTCATAGATGTTTAAAATGTTTTCCCTGCTGGTAAAACTACGTCGAACATGATAAAATGTAGAACCAAACTTTATTCTCATCTTTTTAAACTTGTTCTTCATGTTACGAGGGAAAAGAATTTTATGAATACTATGTTTCTTCTCTTGATCAAACGATAAACCTGCATTTTAAGTGTACAAATTAAGATTAAAATCATAAATAATTTTCTACTTTCAGAAATAGTAGACATAGGCTTTCTTTGAGATTTTTTCCCTAACGTTAGATCTACATTCCTTTCTAAAAAATGAATTTCATCTTCTTCAACATCATCATAATATTTGAAACAATTTCCTAAATCAAAAAGTAACTATCATAAAAAAGTGTCGACTGTACTGGTTTTAAAATCTGCTGTGTTAAATTTTTAAATTTTTGGGAAACATAAATTTCACTGTAGTTCACATTTTTTAAAAAGCCTTCAACATGTAGTCATATAAAAAATTACGCAGGGCTAAAATTCCACAAATTAGTTCTGACAGCAAACTTACTATATTCTTCAAAGATAGTATCTCCAATATGAGCAGTCTCAGAGAACTTCCTCAATACAGTAACAAACAACTCCAGGTGTTTGTAATTAGAGTGAACAGCATCTCGTACAGCTTTGAGGAGAACTGTTCTACTGTCAGAGACAGAACCTCTGGTAGACATGACACAAGACAGAGCCTCATCAGATATAACCTCTTCATGAAGCAACTTTGCCATACAAACTGGTTCAGTAATTGACTGAGAGAGAGCACGTAATTATCCTCA